CAGCATCCAGAGGGCGAGGCACGCGGCCAAGCAGTTCGCCTGGAGGACTGGAGTTGGCGCCGATCAGTTCAACCCGAGGCTCATCGCAGCGCTCAGCGACGAGTGCGTGGGATGCCTCATCGACTTGTGCATGACGTGCGAGCGCATCGGCGGCTTCCCCTCGGCTGCCAGGCTGGTGCACCTCGTCATGTTGCCGAAGCCCAAAGGAGGATTCAGGCCCATCGGCCTCCTCGCTTGGCTCCCGCGGCGGTGGGCCAGGACCAGGCAGCGAGAGAGTCGCGCCTGGGAGGCGCAGCTCGCCCCAGCAGACAAGGCCAACTTCTGGGGCGGCCAAGGCAAGGCCTCAGTGGAGGCGGTGTGGTGGCAGGCACTGCAAAACGAGGCGGCCGACGGCAGAGGCGCCTGTGCGGGAGGGGTGCTTCTTGACCTCTGGAAGACGTACGAGGTGGTCTCCCTCGCCGTGGCCCAGCAGCGCGCCGAGGCCGAGGGGCACCCGCTCGCGCTCACCGCGGCCGCCCCCAGCGTCTACGAGGGCCCGCGGAGGATCGTCATCGACGGCGTGGTCTCAGAGGCCTTCTTCCTGGCCGCGGGCTTGGTGGCTGGATGCGGCCACGCAGGGAAGCTCCTCCGCTGCTGCATGATGGTCATCGACTCGGAGCACCGCCGCATGTACAAGGAGGTCTCCCTGGCCATCATGTTCGACGACTGCTCCCTGCGCCATGCTGGCTCGGAGGCGCAGGCGGGCATCCTGCTCGGCAAGGCGGCGGGCGCCGTCATCAGAGGCCTGGGGCGAGACATAGGCGCGGTCGTCTCCAGGGGCAAGAGCGAGATCCTGGGGGCCACCGAGAAGTTGCGCCGCCTCATCGAGCACCACATGGACGAGGGCTCCTTCGCGCACGCCAAAGAGGCCAGGAACTTGGGAGTGGACTACGCCATGGGCGCCAGAGCTGGGGAGGTGGCTGCAGGCCGACGCCAAGCCGCCGCGGCCCAGCTCGGCCGTGTCCACCAGATACGACGAGTAGGGAAGGAAGCGGCAGTCAAGCTCGCCAATGCTGGACTTAAGCCCGCTACATCATGCGGTATCTCTTGCATGGCCTGGTCGTCTTCGGCGCTGGCGAGATGGAGGTCCAAGCTCGCCGCCATCGCCTTCGGCGCGGGGCCTGGCAGGAGCATCAGCCTCAGCTACCTGCTGGCCGCGAAGCCGTGGGACGACCCGCTCTGCGACCACATCGTCAAGCCCATGGAGGCGTGGGCGAGGGCGCTGCAGCAGGTCAAGGAGCAGGACAGGCGCGCCCTCGGCTCGGCCTTTGCGGCGGCGCGTGAGCGCCTCACCGCCATCGGGCCAGAGAGCCTGGCGGGAAGGGGCCCAGCCTCCGCAGCGGCCCTTGCCCGGGTGCGCCTCGGCTGGAGGGCCGACCACATCAGGCGCTGGACGGACGACCTTGGGAGGATCCTCGACCTGGGCGAGACCGACAGGCACATGGTCCACCGCGAAGTCCAGGCCGCCTTCATCAGGAAGCTCTGGAGGGACGTGGCGAGCCACGACCCGCTGCTGGGACACCTGAAGGGCGGCGCGGCCATCAACGGCCTGAGGGAGCGGCTGGCGAAGCAGTACGCCGACCACGCCCTCGCTTCGCGGTGGTCCTCGGCCAGGAACGCCATCGTGGGCTGCCTCTGGCCCGTCCAGCGCCGAGCCTTGGCAGACCCCCCGCTCGCGAGCTCGGGGCGCTGCCCAGCTGGATGCGAGGAGAGGGGGGCAGTCGGGCACCTGGTCTGGGCCTGTCCCACACTGGGCGGCCCCCGCAGGCAGTGGAAGTTAGACGACCTCAGCATCAGCTACTTCCACGACACGGGCGGCCCGCTGGACTCGGACGCGGAGCACGCCATCTGGTCGCGGTGCCTGGTCAAGGACCCGCGCAGCCACCTCCCCCTGCCGCTCACGGCGCGCATCGTGCGCACGACGGGGCCGAGGGCAGGCGAGCCACTCCATGGCGAGGTTTTCCTGGACGGCGCGGCGTCCCACGCCCAGGACCGAGTTCTGGCGCGAGCGGGCTGGGCAGCTTGCTCGACGGACCACGCGGGCGCCGAGATCTCGTCGATCCTGGGGCCAGTGCCATGGCCGCTAGCCCAGGAGTCGGGCTCGGGGGAGTTGCTGGCAGCAGTGGGGGCCCTGGCCCACTGCTTCCCGCCCGTGCACCTCTTCAGCGACTCGCAGCTGCTCGTGGACGGCTGGGGGGCAGGCGAGGATTGGTGCCTATGCTGGTCTAGGCCGTACAGGGCCCTGTGGGCCGTCTTCTGGCAGCGGGTCCACGACATAGGCAGGGGCGCCATTCAGATCACCAAGGTGAAGGGACACGCCACGATGTACGACGTCCTGGTCGGGTCCTCCACGGAGTGGAAGCGGCGGGGCAACAAGCTCGCCGACTTGAGGGCCAAGCAGGGCGCCAGCATCCACCCCGCGTTCCCCGCGCTGGTCGAGGCTGCGAACATCGCCGACGAGTGGGGCGAGAGCCTGGGTAGGATGCTCGGCCTGGCGCTGCAGGAGGGCAGCAGCTGGCTCACGGCGATTGGCGGCTACGCGGCGCCTGGCCTCCAGCTAATTAGATGTGCTGCTCCTGGTTGCCGCCTGCGCTCGATCGCACCGCGCGGCCGCTGCTCAGCCCGCGCGTGCGAGAGGCACGGCTCGTCGGCTCTCGCCGGGTCGAGGCGCATCTGGTGCTGCCTCGGATGCGCGGCGAGCGGCCGTCCTCTCCCCGCTTTTTCCCACCCGCCCCCGCCGCCACCGCCCCTGCCCGCCTCGGGAACCGAGGGCTCAGGCGCAGGCGCGGCCGTGCTCCTCGGCATCGTCGCAGGAGCCGCCGCAGCGAGCGGGGGGGAGGCCAGCGGAGGAGGGGGCGAGGAGCAGCAGCAGCAGCAGCAGCAGGAGCAGCAGTCTCCAGCGCAGGGTAGTTCGGTCGAGAACCCTCCCAGCGAGGGGGTTATTCCACCAGGGGGGCCACAGGGGGCGAGGTCGGGTGGGTCGCGGGGACCTCCTGGGCCTGGGCCTGGTCTCGGGGAAACGTGGCCCCCCTGGTGGAACGCGAGGTTCCACCCGTCGCACAGGATGTGGCGGACGGGGGACCTCGCCTTTTGCGTGGTGTGCGGCGGGTTTTGCCGCAGTCGTCGGGTCATGGCACTCGGCGACGAGTGCCCGCTTCGGCCGCTCTCGAGCAGGCAGGCCGAAGGGCTCCGCAGAATGAAGCGCGGCCTCCACCCCACCAAAGGGGGGGTGGAGGCCGACCTCGGCGCCCCGCCCCCCCTCCCGCCGCGCGAGAGGTCGCGCTCGAGGGAGCGAGCGGGGAGCAGGGGCTAATGTAGCAGCTGCGGGGGGAGTGTGCACGTCGGCAGCGGCCCCCCTTGGGAGAGCGGGATCATCTTCATCATTATCATCACCATCATCATCATCATCATCAGCAGGAGCAGCATCATCATCATCATCATCATCATCATCATCATCATCATCATCATCATCATCATCATCATTATCAGCATCATCATCATAACATCATCATCAGCACCCTCACGAGGATCGTGGCCACATGGGAGCTCCACCGAAGGCGCCAGTAGCAAAATGCGCATGGCGGCCTCGGGCCATTCCGGCACACCCCTCACGAGGATCGTGGCCCCATAGGAGCTCCACCGATAGCGCCAGTAGCAAAGTGCGCATGGCGGCCTCGGGCCATTTCGGCACACACCTCATGAGGATCGTGGTCCCATAGGGAGCTCCACCGAAGGCGCCAGCGGCAGGGTTCGCATGGCGGCCTCGGGCCATTTCGGCACACCCCTCGCGAGGATCGTGGCCACATAGGGAGCTTCACCGAAGGCGCCAGTGGCAGGGTTCGCACGGCGGCCTCGGCCCATTTCGGCACACCCCTCACGAGGATCGTGGCCCCATAGGGAGCTCCACCGAAGGCCCCGAGTGGCAGGTTTCGCACGGCGGCCTCGGCCCATTTCGGCACACCCCTCACGAGGATCGTGGCCATAGGGAGCTCCACCGAAGGCCCCGAGTGGCAGGGTTCGCATGGCGGCCTCGGGCCATTTCGGCACACCCCTCACAAGGATCGTGGCCCCATAGTTGTGCTGCTTCAACAACCGCGCCTGGGCGTCGTACTCCGCCTTCTCGACGTGCACCGACACCTCCTCCGTCATGGCTCTCAACGCCCTCTCCTGCTTCTGCTCCTCGGTCAGAGGGACGCCGTCCTTGTCGTCGTCGGCGCCCGCGAAGACGGCCACGAACGTGTTCCTGAGCATGTCGGGTTCCGGCGGGAAGCCGTGGCCACATCGGGAACGCGGGCGAAGATGGTATTCCCAATTGCGTTATTCACAACTGCATATGGTTGGGTCTTTCGCCAGGCTAATTTGACGGTCCCCGGGTTTGGCACGGGCCCACAGAGCAGGAAAATTAGGAAAACCACCCGTCGTGATCTCTTCACGACCCGAGGATGTCTGGGGTTGGAGCAAGAGGGGGCACGAGCAGGCAGAAGAGCTTTCGGAGGTCTGGCAATTATCGTACCTGCGTCCTGCGACGCCCTCCCAGCCCGGCGGCTCCGAGGACTTGGATGATCGCAACCCCGATAACTACGTACTGTAGCAACGAGTGCTCGCGTTGCAAGCAGCGTCGGGGTCAGCCCTACATGCCGCCACGCTGGTCCCGGGCAGGCTGTGCTGCCCGGCGGAAGGGGACGAGGAGGGGAAAAGAAGACAGGCAGACGACGACGAACGCCCAGGCGGGAGGCCAGGGCCGGCGGGGCGGGCGGGCAGGCAGAGAAAAAAACAGCTTTTCTTGGATCGGCTCCCAGCCACCTCCGCGCGCGGGGCACACGCATGAACTCACAGTTCCTCTGGTCGGCGCTGGCCCCCCCCTTGCGCACCCGGCGCGAGGGGGGGGGAGCGATCCGAGCATTTCGCGCGGACTTCCGAAATCTTACAGTCATTTTCGTGTTGTTGGTCGTCTTCTTGAGGAGGGCCGCCTCGTCGACGAGGAGGACGGCGTGATGCTGGAACAGACGGGCCTCAGGACGCGCCGCGGGGGTGCGGCAGCGAAACTCTTGCTTGCAGAGCCTTCCAGGGGCAGCCTGCCGTTGAGCTCCTCGCTGGCGAGCTTCGCCGGGGTCGGCCTGTCGCTGAGCCCCTCGCTGGCTAGCTGCGTGTCCGCGGGCAGCCTGGCGAGGGCGCGCGACCGACAGGGCCGCGGCATCTCCGGCTGGGTCGAGCTCCTGGCCGAGGGGTCCCTCGAGGCTTCAGGGGAGACGTTAGGGGTGGAACCCTGGATCACCGCTGGGGGCGCTTAGAGGATCGGGGGGCTCCAAGTGGATGCCAAGGTTGGCTATATCTGGCCCTTCCTAGCTTATACGCGGGCTGCAAAGGTCCTAAGCAGCTTAGGGGGGCAAAGGTCTGGGCTACGGGAGCGGGGCCCACATAGCAGAGTTACCCAAGCCCTTCAAGTCAATTGGAGTATTTGCAACCCATGTGTAAGAAAAGTACCCACTTATACACCGAAAGCCTGTTATCCTCGTAGCAACCTTAGCGGCACGCGCGTGACGTTGATGTTGTTAACGGTGTTCTAAGTAGGCTCAGGGTGGGATGCACCTCTTCCCAACCGCCCATTCATTGCCGATCTGAGGCCCGACTCGGCCGACAGCCCACCCCGCCCAGGAAGATGCGGATGCAACGTCGGGGGCCCTTCGCCGACCCAGACATGCGACGATGTGATTTTCAAAGCGCGTGGTCCCAGAGGGCACGACCCCTTGCTCGAGAGTGGTCTTTCGTCCCAGACCCATGCTTCGTGGCCCCTGGACTAGAGGGCCCCAGAGGCCGAAATCGAGGAAAAACGCCCAGACTGAGAATATCACCTCGTCGGAGACCCGGGGATCTATCGGCGATGTATCGCCGATTCCAGGTCGATGTTCCCCCCCTGAGCCGGTCCCCCCCTGACGATGCCCCTCACGAGGTGTCCCAAGAGATTGGAGCGCAGGAGATTGCAGCGGTCGGTGGTCCTGGCGGTGCCGAGGTGCAGCCCCACGGTGCGGCCCGAGGTGCCGACGCAGGTGACGGCGCCGAGCGCGAGCAATCCGAGCCGTCACCGCGTCGTTTGGTGCCAACTGCCAGCCGGCTGAACGCCTGAATACCAGGCTCACGCCGGCTGCCCGTTCACGCGTTGGGAGCTGCTGAAGATGTCCCTGGCCCAAGGTGCCACCAGCCTTTTGCTTCATTTTGGGTTCCCTGAGGCTCTCTGGGCTTGGTCAGGGGTGCCCTGGAGGCCGTGTGGGGGCCTTCTTCGGAATCCTGGGGGCACCGTGGGCCAAAGACACTCCTAGCAACACCCGAACACGCCCGAGCACGTACGTGCATACACTCGAGCGACGCAGACAAAAACGAACGCGACTACGCGCACATTCGCGCGAAGGCTGCCGCATATGGTCGCGCGCGCGGAAGCGCTCTCGCTTCCAATCTGACATGCCATGTTGGCGGCCCGCGTAGACCACCGCGTAAGGCCGCTTTGCTATCGCGCGCAAGACTCGTTTCTTTCCGTCGCTCAGTTGTTTTGATTTGTGTGCGTGTGCGACTTGCCGTATGCGAGCATCTTCCAGCACGACGCTCTGTTGCACGAGGCCCCCCGCCGCCCAAACTCTGAGACGCCGGTCGCCGTCATGGATTCAAAGGCTTTCGGGTCATCACTCGGCTCCCCGGCGGCCGTTCGGGGCGACCTGGGCACCCCAGGAACGCCTTCGGCGAGGCGAAGCCGCCAGAAGGCATGCCGAGGCCAGACAACCGCCGAGAACCAGCAAACACGTTCGAAACCCTCGAGCCTCGATCTTTGAAACCTTGCTCTCCGCCGAGCTGGTCCACCCTAACGCTGCCCCTCAGTGATGTTGCAACGGTGGTCTCCCCTCCCCGGTGGGGTCGGCAGCAGGTCGGCGGGATCGGCAGGGGGCGTTCCCTCGCAAGGGGTGCAGAGTCGGAGAAGGCGCTGAGCTTGGGCTCCTGTGGATTGCTTTGCAAGGCTCCACCGCTCTGACCCTAGACCCGTGCACTTGGATCTCCACTGGTGTTGCTAAGGTCTGGGCCTCCCAGATGGGGTCGGAGTAGATAGCAGGTCGGAGGATCGGTCCGACTCGACTCCATGTGGATCCCGACTTTCTCCATGCTAACGTCGCCGATGCATCGCCGATGGCGCCGATGTATCTCCGATAAATCGGAGATGCGGCGCGATCCTCCGACCCCGTCTACTCGGACCCCATCCGGGAGGCCTCTATGAGGGGATTGGGGGTTTTTAAGTGGATGCCAAGGTTGGTTGAATATGGCCTAACCTAGCTTATACGTTGGTTGTGAGTGACCCAAGCGGCTTACGGGGGGCAGAGATCTGGGCTAAGTGGGCGGAGCCCATTCAGCAGAGTTACCTCACCTCCTTAAGCCGCTTGCAGTATTCGTAGCCTTTTTGTTCAAGCTAGGTGAGGCCAGACGCAGCCCACAGTAAAATCCACTTGTAGAGCCCCAGTCCCTTAGCAACTTTAGCGGCGATCTCAGTATGCACCTACAGGACCGTACCCGAAACGGTCACACCCAAGAAGGGCACACTCAACTCGCTTAGGGATGCTCAGAAGAATTGGTATGTATGATGGCGACGCGTACTTCTTACGCACGCCCTGAGACCCCACACGCTCGCCTCACGTGCGCGGGCTTACTTTGGCTTCCCATAGTCTTAAACGAAGCACAGGGAGCCCAATGCTGGGCACCTCCTCTCCAGAGGCTTCCAAGGAAGCTCCTTTCAGCCAAGACGCTGGAGTACGGCCCACTTGGGGCTCAGAAGGGGCTATGACCTTCGGACCGCTCTGCAAGCCTACGGATCGGGGATCCCATTCGTGGCCGAGACTCGCCGTGGCCAGATATGCCCCTTCGTTTCTTCTTTGGCTTACCAAGATAGAACGATGATTGTACGGGAGGAGGGCTTCTGAGGAGGCGGGGCGCTGCTCGACGCCATGATTTTTCAGAGCGTGGGTCTCCAGAGGCCTCGATCTCTTCCCTGGGGCCTGCTTTTATCCCGAGTAGTTTTTTTGTTGAACGGTCCCCGGGGCCCGGCGCGTGCACCCATCATAGGCAGAGGCCGAAAGATACCCACAACGCCTCCCGCCGCGCTCCTTGCCACGCGAGGGGGCCCTGAGCCTGGAGGCGACCCGCAGATCTCTCCTGGGGTGCGTTCTGACCAAACGTTGAAGGCGAACTCAGCCGTGGCGACGAGGAGCCTCGACCCTGGAAGTTCGATCCTCGAAGTTCGAGGTCGATCCGTCGCGCTGCTCTGCCATGACGCGAGGGGCTCTGCGCCCCTCGCCCCCGCCCCCGATCGAGGCCCGCCCAGAGACGGGCCCCTGGCGACCCCCCGCGGGGCCCGCCCGGGGACGGCTTGCTGCGAGCCGCGCCCGGCCGCGGCCCGGGCGCAGCTCGAGAACGCGCCACGTGTCAGTGGGGGGGGGTCGTTGTCACCGTCGTCGTCGTCGTCCCCAGACCTTGGACGACGTCTTGGAGACACCAGGGCGACGATTTGTTTCGCGAGATTCGTTGTCTCGAGTCTCGAGGCCGCGTCGAGCCCTGGGGCCGTCAAACAACGGCTCAGGATGAGGAGCCGGTCCTGGGGAACGGATCGGGTTCTCTGGGATCACTCGGCCACGCGCAGAGGAGGGTAGAGGGAGGGGGGAAGGCTTCTTAGAAGCATCCGTGCTTCTCAGCAGGGGCGGGCCTTGTCTGTAGGTGGAGGGGCGGCGCCCTCTAGGAAGCGGCCTCCTTCGAATAAGCCTTCCCCCCTTCCCTACCCCTTGTGCGCGCCGCCAATCAGCGCCCGCGTGGTCAAAGATTGGTGCATTCCAGAGGAACAGACGAAGTGGCATAAACATATCCTTTCGGACGTCTGCGCGGATTTCTTGCCGGGGCCTCGGCATGAGGCCTGGGAGAGGGCAGGAGAGACCTCCAGATCGCCCTGACGTCCTCGTGCGCAGCGCCAGCTCCCCAGAACACCTCGCAAGGTGAAGGGAAACGAGACGGAACCTTTGTTCTGTCATTTTCGCCGTCAGGGGGCGCTCGCAGGGCCCCATGGGCCGTCGAAAGACGGCCCAGCACGAAGAGCCAGCCCCGGGTCATGCGTCTAGACCTCCAGAGGTCCATGTCGTATGCAAAATTCGTGACGTCGGGGATCGAGGAGGACGAGGAGGACGAGGACGATGAGGAGAAGGAGGAGGATGAGGAGGAGGGGAAGGAGGAGGAGGAGGAGTTGGTGCGAGAAGAAGGGGGATATTAGAAGTTCAACGATCGAGCATCGAGGTTCGATGATGATGGTGATGCTTCGGTGGAGCAGGAGGAGGAGGAGGAGGACCCAGACCCCCGACGTAATGTTTTTGTACAGAATGTGGACCCCCTGCGGTCTCGACCCCTTGCCTGGGACCGTTTGTTCATTTTTGTTGATGGTACCGGGGCCCGGCGAGGGCCTCCAGAAGTCGAACGTAGCCCGTGGTGGTTTGTTTCACCAAGCGATTGGGTTTGGGGAGGCGGAGGAGGAGGAGGAGGAGGAGGAGGAGGAGGAGGAAGAGCCCTCTTGCGCAGCGCCAGCTCCCCCCTTCCTGACAGGTGGCATCGTGCCTCGTGCCCGCTGCGCCCACGTCGCTGCAGGTGATGGTGCGGTCCACCACGCAGATCGTGCTGACGTGGTCTCCGCCGACGTCCAGCGGGGGCTGCCCCGTGACGGCCTCGGGGGAGGGTCCACCCGCCTTGAGGGGCAGCGCTACGGTCGGGAACTTTTGGATAGCGTGTCGCTGTGCCGGTTCTGACCCATCACGCTTCGGCGCGACACGCTATACACTTCCCAGTCCCCAGGCTTCAACATCCTGAACCTTTCCGAGCTTCCCCCTCCGCAGAGTGGAGCGACATGCTATCCGCTTGCAGGGCATAGCGTGTCGCCGGGGCCGCCGCGGCGACACGCCAAGCACAATCCCGACCGTAGCGGTTAGAGGTTGTCTCTGGTTTTCGTCCGTTCTCGGAGGTTTTCCAGCCTCGGGGGGGTGGGTTCTTGTGCCTCGTCGAGAACCGAGTTCTGACCCGAAGACCACGGGCAACGACGGGGTGAGACAGGCTCAGGGGGCTCCACAGCCAGATCTT